GCAAATGTTTGCACGACTGATACATGAGAATGCTGATATTTCAGTCTATTTTCAACATTTATTCAATATACACGGTAATCAACAAACTGCCGCAAGAATTTATTATAAAGACAAAATAGTTGAAACCGTTCAATCTGTACCAACTTCAACTACATACAATCGATTTGGAGTTGTCTCTGACCATTCATAGTTTTATATCTACAATAATAGTCCCCATTTTTGTAAGAATACAGCTACAATACTCACTGTTAACCCTTGACAGCTGTCTGAGGGTCCAGTTGGGCCCACTGTGCAGTTTTTTGTTTGTTATTCGGCAGTATTCATCTCTTTCGAGCTGCTCTCTTTCCTAAACGTCAATCTTCTACCCATGCACACTACCTATATCAAGTGTCTTGAATGAGTCTTACAGACAAAAAACTGAAGTATGAGTCCGCACGGACCCGATAACAACCATGGTGTTATATTTACGATTTCCAGCCGTGTTAGAGCCGCTCTCTGTCGTCATTTTGGTAGAGTAAACATTTTTCTACAAAATGAGACGTTCCGCAGCTATGAGCGAATCTTGATAACCGATGTACAGAAATTTTCCCGGATGTTCCAACACTAGTTATACACTGGTACATACCTAATTATAAAACCATTCCCAAAAATGTCTTCTATATAATATACATTTACATACCCTGCATCAGTATCAACATATCCACCTAGAAGGAGCATGATGTAGACCATTGATCCATGCATGAAAAGCTTCAATCAAATGGTAAAAAGCTTGAACTTCTCCCATACGTTCCCATGTGGGTCCAACCGGACCCCTGAGCAGCCATGAAGTCCAAAAATGAGAACAGCTGTCAAGGGTTAAAAAAACACATTGATAACTCATCGTGTCTAATACTTTATCCAATATAACTTGACTTTTTTTTCCAACGAATTTGTATATTTTTTTTCTATATTCGTTCATATTCATGTATAAAAAAAACATCAATAACAACAAAACGAAAAACAATTATATTGGACAAAACAAAAAAAAACTTATACAAACTACAACAAAAAACGTCAAATAAGGCAATTCTATAACAAATATTTATAGAAAAACATCTGAGTACAAAAATTTTCCTGAGAATTATATTCACAAAAACGCAAAAATACAAAAGAAAAAACAAAATATAACCGGGACTATGGATGTACAAAATACACACTAATAAAGACACATAATTCACTGTTTTAAACTTCGGTTTGAAAAAACGACGATAATTTAATTCGATTATTATCTGTAATTGACAATGGTATATTACCTTCGCTACCGTGCCTTAGACGCGTAGGCGTTGATGTTAATCGACTTGTTTCATCAATATCATTATTTTCTTCATCGTCCTCTTCATCATTACATCCATTCGTTCGACTATTTCGTTTTATTTTCAAACTATCTAGTTTTCTTGGATTTACTTTCCATCCTCCACTACCACTACCTTTCGTTGTTGAATTTGAATTTTGAAATAAACTTGTTATTGAATTACTTTCTCCATTTTGTTGTTTGACATAACTTAATGTGGGTTTTAATTCTGGTGGTAGAGTACCACTATCAGACGATATATCGGATGAATCAATACTGTTCAATAAGTAGGACGGAGTAGTATCGATAAATGTAGAATATGTCGACGATAATGGTTTTAGAATCGATGTAGTCCTTACATAGTGATTATGTGGTATTGGACGAGGAGATGACGATGAATTAACGGATTTATTCGATCGGGGAATTAAACTAGTACTTGTTAAACCAAAACAATTATCAGATGGTGATAAATTTATATTGTTACTGTTCTTGGCTAAAAATAATAAAGAATTAGAAATACATTGTATATTAGACTTTAAATAAATATACAGAAATGTTTAATGTTAAATTCTTACTTTTATTAACTTTAGCATAAATTGCTTTGTCTTGTGGATGTTTTATTGATAGTATCGCTTTATATTCATCTTCCCCTACTTCGTCATGTTGCACTTGTTCGTCTGTGTTACTATCGTTCGACGATTGAGTAAGTTCAATATCATTTTGTTCGGCTAATTTTTCTGTTAAACTTGATAGTGAATTTATTCTCACATTATAATCTGTTAACGGATTACTCGTGTTAGTATTATATTCTAAATAGATTTTTTTAAAATATTACACAACTATATCAAGTAGAAAATCTTATTAACTTACTTTTAGCTGTTGACACTAGAAAGAGAAAACAAATGTTAGTTTTAAAAGTGAATGAATTTAAGATATGTCAGATTAGAAATCTAAGTCGATAATCACAAGTCCGATCTGAACCAAACTTTAATGGAATGTTCACTACGTCATAGTAAGGCAACGAAAAGTATTTTTATGGCTCTATCTAGCTCTGTTCACAAGATATCGCCATAACAAAGATCTTAATTGGGATCTTTAATTCGCGAAATTCATTCCAGATAGATGAGAGAGTTTTGTTTGTTGTAGTAAGCAATCGTGGCTAGGAGTTGATAGAGTCCAGAGTATTTCGGAAATCTTTCTCATTCAGAAAAGAAAAAAGTCAGGCTGTTTCATTTCCACAAATAAAAAAAATGTCTCTGTTCAGTACATCGTCATCAAGATGGCGTCCGTATGCAAGTCTCAACATTTGCTTTGACTATCGCTCAGAACTGTTCGACGTGTCATTTTGATCAACTAATGTTTATTCTACAAACTGACTTATGTAAATTGAATTATTTATTGCCAAAGTGGAAAGATGTTCGAAAGATTTTTGAAAAACTCGTTAAAAAAAATATCCCTCTACTATGATAAAAAGCAATGTAAATTCTATCTGACCGCCTGCTCATCTCAATATGGACTTGTTTTTAACCGAACTTTCGATTTCTAACTTGCATTGGATCGTTAAACAAGAAAACTTACGATCAGATTCTGTTTCTTGATCTAAATTGTTAACCATTGAGGTAACTAATGGAATTCGTGTACTTTCTAAAAATATTATAAATAAATTTAGAGAAAACACTTTACAACTTGTTTACAAAAATATACCATCTTCAATCACATTGTAATGGAGAAAATTTTCTGGTGGAATGTTTTTACTATTATTATAAATCATTTTTCTGTTACCGATTGACCAATAGAGAGCCGATTTTGGATCATTCTAGAAAAGACAAGACATTCTCACATATTCTTCATAGTAGTCAAATGTTTACATACCATTCGTTTATTCAATGATTCACGTGATAACGTTTTTACAGATGATTTCTCTGGAGTAGAATTCTAAACAAATATAATGTAGTTAGAATAAATCATTACAGTTTTAAAATAAATTACTTTTTCATTTAAATTATTCATCTTTTTAAATGTTGAATTATGTTCTTCATTAAGTGGTATACTTTCCGGACCATTAGTTACTGTTTCAATATGTTGCTGTTTTTTGCCACCTGCGTGTCCATTATTAAATTTCAATAATGTTTGTACTGGACTTTCAATTGCTTGTCTCTCTGGTGATGTTGTCATATTATTTAATAGTAATGGTGATGAAACAATTAATTTTTGTTTTTGAGCTGCTGTTAGACTGGATTGCTGTTTACGATTCGCATAAGGAGTTGATCTTCGACAATAAAGTAATATAACAATTAATAAAATAAATAATAATAGTCCAACGCCAATTGAAATAGCAATGAGAATATATTGAGTGGAAGTTGATGTTGAGAATGAAGATGATGTTGATAAAAGTGTCGTGGAATGATTTAAACATGAGGAAGAGGTACAATTTGTTTCACTACATATGTAACTACCAATTGTATTAATACATTGTGTATTTGATGGACATAAATTTTCATATTCTAAACATTCATTTACATCTTCTTGACCCAATTGATCATGACTCGATACACACGTATAAGCTACACTTTGTCTATAAGACTGATGAAACGATCTAATATAAAATAAATAATTAATATTAAACAGTATACTTTTGTTTTTTCATTCTATTATAGTCGAGAATCAATCGTCTCTATAGTCGTTTCATAGGCAAAGATATTTTAACATTGAAATTACCTTATTGTCATATTTTGTTGTTGTCGACAAATTCGACGTTCTTGATCTTGACATGGTCTACTTTCACATGGTAATAAATCCAATTGACATTGTTTATTTGCAAAACGTTTAAGACATGTACATTTGTAACCATTTGATACGGTTGAACATTTTCCTCCATGATAACATGGATTTAATGAACATATTGAATGATCTAATTTTGAACGTGTTTCTAATTCTGGAGGTAGTTGACAACCGTCATGTGTTCCAATGTGAATTAATTCTTTATCATTTTTTAATTGAATTAACTGTGAATTAAATGTAAAATTTCCTAAACATCCATGAAATCCGCCACCAAGTTCCGATCCAATTGTTAATTCATCCACAATATATGATTTTAAAAAGGATGGAATTTTATATAAATCACTAAAAACATGATCAAGACGAATTAAAATTGTTTTCGTATCAACAAATAAATGAATATCATGCCATAAACCATCGTTACATTGAATCAATGATAATTTCATTATTTGTTTAGAATTAAAGTCTACACTTATATGACTATCGACAATCTAGAAATAAAAAGGATAAAATACTTTTTTAGTTTTATATTTGTTCATTATTCTCTATCAACTACTTACATTAATACCAAGTGTAAACAACTTTGCTGTCATTTTTATTAAAATAGCTTGTGGTATTTGAGTTCGAAACGTGAATTTTGTATTTATAGTTGACATTGTTCGATTTAATTTCCATCGTACATAACTATAGCCATCAAATGTAAGAGAATTTGATGAGTCTAAAAAAACAAAAAATAAATTGAGTTTAAACATAGTGTGTCAATAGTAGAAAAAACTTGACAATATATATCTTTTTAAAATGAATAGCTAAAAACTTTTGATACGTGCTGATAGAGAAATGATATAGTCATTTAAAAGTATATTCACTATCACTGTGAAGAGAAAAAAATTGAAGTTCAATTTCCATTGAATCAAACGTCTAAGCTTTCTTTGACACAGAGTAAAACAAGATATTTTTAAAATACCTCTGCATGTTGGTGAATTGATATTGATACATTCATTGTTCAGATTCTCTTCTAATAAATCACTGGCACTTTTCGTTTCACCACATGGTTCATCAATACACTCACATTCATACGAATCATTTAGTTCGATACATCTTTCATTTGGTGAACACGGATTTAAAGAACAATGTTTTTGATAAATTTCACAACGAGATCCTTAAATAAAATTGATAAATTAAAAGTTAATCATTGTTAAAAATAATTATATTTTTACATACCGATATAATTTGGTGTACAGACACATCGATATTTCCATTTATATTTTGGCATAAATAAATTGTACTCTTGTGTATCAACTTCATACAAATGATAACTATTTTGAATCAATTGAATTTTACTTATACAATTTCCATTATTTTTACATGTTTGACTTGTACAATGTGATGTTGTCATTGATTGAACAAATTTTATTTGAGATGATCGAAGAATTAAATCACTATTATTTTTAATTACATTAAATAATAATTTTTTATGTAAAAAACGTAGAGAATGAGATTGTTTTGTAGGTGTACGTGTTTGATAACGAGCAATAGAAATTAATAATTCAATCGTTTTTATTTCACTACTACTTATATTATGATAAGAATATGTTGTTAACAAATCTTTCACTGGAACAGATCCATCATTCAAATCATAGTCATATTCATCATCATCATAATGTAAATCATCGGCAAGTCGACTGAAATGAAATAATTGCTAGAATTAGCTTTTTTAATACGAATTCGAAAGACGTGAATGATCAATACACATTTATAGATCACAAGCAGATACAGAGACAATTTCCTAATCTTCATGTAACACCACATTCTTCTCGATCAGGATGGGTAAGCAGAAGACCTTCTCACTCTAAATTCTGACACTATCCACTAGATTTTTCGTGTGGCAAACATTTGTCGAATCTTTTTGTGACTATCAGAGATGGGCGATGGACGTCCATCGCCATTCTTCACGGAGCGGACCTCTCAAGGGAGATTTCTGAAAACTTGGCGAGGCACGGGGCGATGACGCGGCAAGAACTCCACGACATGAACACTACGACATTTTTTCTTGTGAGCGAAAGACGAGACGGAGACGCCGGACGGAATATTTTTTAGTTCACACTTGGGAAAAATGTTTGTTCTTGTGAATCAAGATAGAACAATGAATTATGATGATGCTAGCAGAGATTTTTCGGACTCAGGAGGATCGATGAGGTAGTGCTAGAGAAAAATCTTATCAAGAGTTGACGATGAACGAGGCAGTGACGGGCAGAAAAAGCTTACGGGGCGATTCTTGCAAAGTACATTTATCGAAACTTGGCGAGGTGCGGGACGATGACTAGATAGGAAGTTTGTGAGGCAATCCCTGCGAGGGAGCTAAAGATAGTCCATCGCCCACCTCTGGTGAGTATAACAAATAGTGCGATTCTTTTACAAGTATTTGACCTAACAGAGTATAAGAGACTGGCAACTAATGCCAGTAGTTCAATCGCCAATAACCTACCTGGGAAAATAGGTGACAGACAGTCTTTTAAACACGGATTCCGCAACTTGATATACAAGTTGGAAAAAATGAATCCCGAATGGAACGAAAATATCCTGAGAATAAGAGACAAAAATATAGGAAGAAAAGACGAGTATACCGTGACATGTTTCGGTTAAAAAGTAAATTCTGATGCTGAGTAGTCGAAGTTCTTTGCATTCAATAAATATTTTACTTGCTTAAAACAAAACTGTCTATTAGGAAAATATTTCCCCACCCTGGCTAAAAAACGAATCGGAAACCTTGTTCTCGATAATAACTTACTTATGATCTCGTTCTTGTTCATATTCCTGCGGTTGTATAGCGTATATATAAACATATTTTAAATTAACGCCAATTATATCAGCCAATGTTGATTTTAATTTTTGTAAACCATCAAGAAAAAATTGTTTATAATTATAAGGTTCAACTATGAGCGATATTGAACGTTCAAGCATCTCTTTTTCAATTGGCCATAGACGAATATCAATACGGTTGACATCAAATGATGATTCCGTTTCATGATTGAAATAGGTTGAAAATTGAAAAGAATTCATTATTGTTGAATCAATATGTCCATCGCTATTATTGAACGCTAAAGAAATAAATGATATAGTTATGAGAATAAAATTTTCACGAGGTCAAAAAACGGAAAAAGTAATATTATTTCTATTTCTCATTATATTTCTTTAAATTAGAAATCAAAACTAACCTTGTTTTTTCACACCTATGACAATAATATTTGCTGTTAGTATCAATGGTTTCGAATAATGTTGATTCTGTTGTGATGTTGTTGTGTTTAATTTTAACCATAATTCTGTTTCATTTTTAGATATTTGATTTAGACGAAAATAGTTTTGTTGTTGTTGTGATTGTTGAACTAACTGATAGAATAAATAATCGTACAGATGATTATTATTCACTTTTAATTGTCCTAAATTGACCATTGTTGCCGTTTGTGTTGAAATATATCCATCAATTTTTTTTATTAATAATTTTGGTTTTTCAATGATTCGTTTCGAAAATATCACTGTTAACATCATATCGGAATATAATTGTTCGACATCAAAAACACGTACAGTTATTTGATATTGTCTATCTTGAGAAATATTTTTAATTAGAATAAGTTGATTTGAATGTTGAATATCAAATACACGATCATCATTACCAGAAATAATTTGAAATATTTTATCGATCATTCCATCTTTATCAATGACTGAATGAAAAAGAAAAAAATGAAAAATTGAGACGATTATTTGACTTAGGAGAGAAGGTCCACAAGTATTACTCGCACTTTTCAATGGAACATATCCTAATTTGTAGAGCTCGACGAGCTGATTACGAAGGCATAAAGCATTTTCCTCCATTGAAGACCCGTTTTTCAGAAATAATAATCAAAACCTTTCTTAACGAGACATAATTGTGGCGCACAAATTTCTGATTAAAATGAGATATCTACCAGTTTTACACGACCTTTCTTTGCAAAGTTATACAATTTACAAGGAAAGCCCTAAATGTTCATTGTCAGCTCAAAGCTACAGAAATCAGACGAAATTAATTGAGGGCTTTTCCTGTAAATTGTATAACTTTGCAAAGAAAGGTCGTGTAGAACTGGTAGATGTCTCATTTTAATCAGAAATTTGCGCGCTACAATTATGCCTCGTTAAGAAAGGTTTTGGTTATTTTTTAGAGTTTCTGAAAAACTGGTTTTCCAGAAAATCGGATCTTCAAGAGCCATGGGGGAAAATGCTTCATGCCATTGTAATCAGCTCATCAAGCTCTACAAATTAGGATATGTCCCACTGAAAAGTGAGAGTAATACTTGGGAACCTTCTCTCGTTAGTTGATTAAGAAAGTGTCTCTCTCAATTGTTAAGAGTTTGTAAAACTATCTAGAATCTTTCAAAAGTTGACCATTCATTTTTCGTTTCTCGCGATTTAAAACTTCAATACAATAGTTAAAATAAAGACTTACCTGAAAAATTATACAATGTTGTATTTACACTTGGATAATTAAAATATGTCAATGTTAATGTTTTATTTTCAAATTGTGGTGGATTATCATTTAAATTTTTAATATGAATTGTCACATTTAAAGTTGAATTAAAAGATATTGGTTGACCATTATCATTGACAATTACCGTTACATTTTGATTTGATTCATCTAATTCATAATCAAATTTTTTTAAATTATAAATGGTACCAGTTGGTGTAATATTAAAATTTTGATTTGAACCATCAAGATAATATGTTAAATTATTTGATTTATCTTTATCATACGCATTAATTGTACAAATATTTAAAGATAATTGATTTTCATTTAATTCACAATTATATTGTTCGATAAAATGTGGATGATTATCATTTTCATCAAGAATATAAATATGTACAGTAATTTGTGTACTATTTTGAACATTTTGAATAACATTATCTTCAATAGCTTCAACTGTAAATAATATATGTTTATCATGTTCATAATCTAATGGTTTAATTAATTTAATTACACCCGTACGGGAATCAATATCAAAATAGGATACATGACTATTATTATTAATAATATGATAAGTAATATTACCATTTGAATCGGGATCACGACTTGATGCAACAACTTGCAATACAGTTGAACCTAAAAGAATATTATTTTATTTTGTATTTAATTTTTATAAAATACAATAGTTCTCTTTCACTTCTCGTCCATTAGATTAGATGATTTTTTTATAAAATAAATTTATTCTAATTGCAAAAATAAATTTACCTAGTTTTGTTGCTTCACTAATATTTGTTTCATACAATTGTTCATCAAATATAGGTGGTTGATCATTAACATCATTAACAATTATTGTAAGTATTCCTGTTGAATTTAATTTATTATCACTTTCATCTTCCATCATTATCAAATAATGTTCGCTTGAAATTAATTCTCTATCATATGTTTTTAATAGAATAACTGATCCAGTTGTTTTATCAAGTCGAATATCATTCTTTGTCTCATTTAGTAAATAATAATTAAAATGATGACCATTTAGATCATGAGAATCTAATGCTTTAACACGACCAATGTACAGTGGATAACGATTATTTTCATTAACTGATAATTCAAGACTATCAGATTGAAATTGAGAAATTTTGTCTTTAATATTAATTAAATGTACTATTACAGGTAAATGACAATTGAGATTAATAAATCGTTCGTCATTTTTTAGATCGAGTGAAATGTTAAATTTATATGTAGACTGGGTTTCATAATCGAGACGATCAATTACACTAAGGACACCTAAAAACAGAGAAAAATGTTTACATTTTTGAACAAATTGAGTCCTTAGACAATTGAGGTTTGATGTCCTTTCCAATCGATTCATGTACAACAACACATAATGTTATATTGAAAAACTCATCTCATATCGGTTTTAGAAAATAAAATTAACAACCGAACCGAAAACGAATTCTATTTAACGTTTAAAACAGCCGAGATATTTAAATTTTAAAAATGGATCTTTTTTCAAAAAATTCTTTTTTATTTCAGTTTTTAGGGCTTTTTACTGCCCTCTTCTTATAAAGTTGGCCGATAGTGTCTACTTTCAAGCTAAGCTGATCGAAGAATTTTTAAAAATGGAGTTGTTAGGCTGCATTTCAAAACATCCCTTTTTGATTCGTTTTTCACATCTCAGTTCTTGATCGACTGACTTTTCCCACATGATTTAGACTGACTGTAACTCTCCGAAGCCAAAACGTTTTGTTTTTCCTTACCTGTCGATTGATCTATTCTAAATGGATACGAATCTTTTCCAATAAGTGTCATTGATAAATCATTTATTTGTTCCATTTTGAAATGACTATTTCGACTAAAATTATTCGCTTCTATCAGACTGGGTATTATTGAAGCTATTACTGTATCAACTGGTACTTCTTCCTTTATTGACCATTCATGTGTATTCTGGAAAAGATGATAAAAAATGAATATTAGTCTATTATATCGAGAGTATACAGTTCCTATTTAACTATACCTTTGGACAAACAAAGTTGTTCCACTTTCTTGTTGTTATAATTCGTATTTGTGTTTGACAGAAACGTTCTTTAAGTCCATCATGCATCAGAATAGTAAGATTAAAATATGTTGTATCTAATGTAACATTTAACAATGATACAACAAATAATTGACCATTTTCATTTACTGAAAATAGACCACTGTCATCTCCAGATAGAATATAATACCAACGACGTTGTTTATGGTCACTTCCAACATCAATATCATCAATAACAGTACCTAAAAGATAAAAAAAATAATTAAATTGACACACTTTTCTTTAACTTTAACACTCATCTCATTTCCCTATGAGACATGCTGATTCTATTCTTTTTGAACTACAATAAGGTGGGCCATATAACTCGGCTCACTTTTGCATTATTTTTTCTCTTATCATTCATGTACAGCTCAAGAACGTCTCAAGTTGAAGAGAACAATGTGCTGAGATATTTTCACGTTCAACATCACCTATCGTTCAAAAGCTATAACAAGAATACAAACATCAGCATTTTATCAGGAAAGTTTTGTAAAATAGATATTGCATATTTTTCCGATAAAATGCTGATGTTTGTATTCTTGTTATAGCTTTTGAACGATAGGTGATGTTGAGTGTGAAAATATCTCAGCACATTGTTTTCTTTAACATGAGTGACTACATATCGTGAAAAATGATACGAGAAAATAAATGCCAAAAAAAAAAGTCACAGAAGTTCACTGCAGTAGCCGAGTGACGTGGCCAAACCAAACAATGTCTATACTGATGTTGAAATTACCCGGTAGACTTTGATCAGATATGTTGGTTATTTCTTTATTGGAACAAAACCTCAAATTATTTTTATTTGTGTCGTCATGATCATAATTATCAAACGTAATATTGAGTAGAGCTGTTGTATTTAACGATGGTAAACCAGAATCTATTGCATATAAAGTTAGTAGTAAATAATTTTTATTTTCTAACAAAGATTCATCTTTATTATCATTCGTTTTAATCGATAACCATCCATTTGTATCATTTATTTCAATAAATGAATTTTCTTCTATTTGATATCGAACATAGCCATTTAGACCAGTATCATGATCCGTTGAAAATACACGTGCTAATAATAAATTATTATTATTAAATAATTTCTTTTTCATTACATATATTTTATAAACATCTTTTGAAAATCGTGGTTTATTATTATTAATATCATCTACATATATTTTTACTTTTGTTGATATTGTTAATGTTAAATTTTCTGTTAATTGTTTTTGTGCATGAATTTCAAATTGACATAAATCAATATTATTTGAAAATTTATTTTTTAAATAAATATGACATTTCGATAATTGAATATTTCGAATACACCATTGTTTTGTTAACGGTGTTGATACAAGAGAATAGTCAACAATTGAATATGGATCTTCTAAACAACTTGTACCAATTTGAGAACCTGAAAAATTTGGATAAAAACAGTAGAAATTTATGTCTATTTTTTCGGATTATTTATTACCTTCTTGTAAATTTTCATTAATTCTAAATTCATATTGATTTTTAGTAAAATGTATTTTTTTTTCATTCGATGGTAATATTGTTATCATTATACGTGTATTTGTTGTATAATTTGTTGAAAATGCTTGAATAAATAGATCATATTGTTGTGGATATTGAATATCTAATAATTCTCTCGATGTAACTAATAGATTATTTTGAATTGTAAAGAGATTTGTATAAGTTTTATTGATAAATTCAAATTTTGATGGTAATAATAAACGATCATAATGATCAACAATTTGTAATTTCATTATACGTGTATTAGATTCAAATGGTATTTGTAGAATAGGATAAAATGAATAAGATTCAAATAATGGTGTTAATGATCGATCAAGTAAATTTTCATTTATAAGACGAATTTGTGCATATTGTAATTGATAAGCAAAATCTATCGTTGATACATAAAAATCAACATCGGACTCATAATTTGTTGACGAATCCGAATAATACAAATCATAATCAAATTTGGACATATTCAATGTTAAAACACCTATTAAAAGAAAAGAAGTCAACATATAATCTATAGAAACTGTCAATGATTTTAAATAGTTCACACAACTTACCTGTCTGTAAATCAATGTAAACTCCTTTTGGTTGCATGTGTAATTCATATTTTAAATAATCTCCATGATCTTTGTCTGTTGCTTGAACTTGTCCTAATATTTTATGAATAAAATCATTTTCGTTATTAGATTCAACACGATATTTAAATGTGTATATTGTCTGATCGAATATTGGACGATTTCGAGAATAATCATTAATAAAAATTGAAAGTAAACCTGTTGTTACGTACAAACCATCTGTAACACCAACTTTTAATTCGTATCGAGATGACAACGATTGTTGTTGTTGTTGTTGGTAGTGATGGGGATTATTTGTCAGTGTTATCACTCCTAAAATATATAGAAGTAAATTTTACTGTTGTTATATTTTTCTCTTAAATCTATTACGTTGGTAAAAATTTTTATTAAAAAAGATGCTTGAGATCATAGTCAAGACGTTAGCACCGTTAGCATATTCAGTTGTTTACATTAATAAAAAGAAAAGACAGGAATAAGACTTACCCGTTGTAAATAAAACAGAAAAATGAGAGTTTTGAAACAAAATCTATTTTCAAAAGAAATTTGTGAATTTAAATACACTTAACACTGTATGACGAGTACAAGAGAAACATCACCCGTACAATTTTAAGTATGAGGAGAAAAATACGAAAAAAACTTTTAAAAATATTCATAATGAAAAAGCAAACTGCTTGATGTACTTTAAATAAAGTGTCTGTATCTATGTGTGGAGTGTTGTAGTCATATTTCAAGATCCGATACAATATTCTATGACTGAAAAGTATATCTATTTTGTTACGTTACCTGTTCGATTATCAATTTCAAATAAACTATTATCACTATTTTCCATAAGATGATATAATCGTTGATCTTGATCTAAATCATGAGCTGTTAATTTTGTAACAAATATTTTCTCATTAGACTGTTGTCTATCAATAAATGTTTTCGATAATTCGATATATGAATTTAAATTGATAAATTTTGGTGCATGATTATTGTAATTTTTCACATCAATTTCGATAATTGTTTGACTTGACGATGATTTTATTATTGCACGAGCATAAAATGAATAAAATGATTGTAATTCATAATGCAACCAATTTTTTAATATTATGACCCCTAAATTATACAATAAATAAATGTTAAGAAGAACAAAGTTACTCTACTCTTGTCGTTAGATTATTTTTACCTGTTCTTGCATCAATATCGAATAAATGTTCATTATGTTCTAACAATTCATATTTGATATTATGTACAGTCGATGTTGTATTCAATTTAAATATGATTGATCCAGGTGGTGTAACCTCCGATATTTCTATGTAATAAATATTGAACTGAAATTTGATATCATCATCATTATTACCATTTGATTTTATCAATACATTTATCGTTGAATTTTGTTCATAAATTAAATCACGAACAAGAACAATTAATGTATAGTTTTTATTTCCAAGTTTTTTCACAGCATATATCGTTCCATTATCAAAATCGATCGAAAAATTGTTATCATTTTCACTCAATAATTCATAAACCAATCTACTATTTTGATCGTACCCATAAGCATAAACTGTACCAATTTCCGATCTATTTGATGCTAATAGTAAACATAAAATAGTAAACATAAAAATGTTTTAAATTACTTTCAGTTTTTATTTAACTTACTTGTATTAAACGTATAATTTTTTACATTGAATATCGGTGCTTTATCTCCAACAACATCAACATCAACAGTTCCATTTTCAATATTATGATTTAATTCATCATAAACATTGAATATCAATTGAAAATGATCTTGATTTAATGGTAATGATTTATTTTCGAGAATAAATGTAAAATATTTCGTATTAGTCGGTAATAATGTGTCATTACTCTGATTTTTTCGAATCATACGATAGAACGATGTTGTTTCGAGTAGTGGTTTGTAAGATGCCACTCTATGTACAGGTATAAGACAAAATTGTTTGTCTTGTTTTTCATTTATTGTCATCTCCACTAATAAATCATACGATGTTTGATTCAGTACACTATTAATACTCTTTTTCAATAGTAAACCGTGTTCAGATTCAATTTCAAACTGATCATTGTAATTTAACAGATTATAGAAATAAGGCGAACGATTCGATGATGAACATCTACGATGATCATTTACTAGAAACAAAAGAGAGTAAAGTTATTGACAATGACTTCAGTTTCATACTATTCACAATTTCTATTTACACTCAAAATAATTATTTTTGAATTTTCTACTATATTCTAATAAATAAAGTCTAGAATTTGAGATATTGCGGTTTTCTCAATTCTCCGATTTCTAAAATTTATCTTCAAACAAAATCTAGAATTTCTAATTTATTACAATATAACAGAAAAGTCAAAAATAATTATTTTGAATGTAAACGAAATTACGCATAAAATCTCTAAGGTAGTCCTTCTTTCTTGAACGAAATGTAGGTGTATTTCAAAAACGATTGCATCATACTTACAAAACATGCAGATTCAAGTACAACAAAAAAGATTTATACAGATTAAAATTAAACATTTCAGGAACACTCCTCTTTTTTGAAAAAGTTTCTATTCTAAGTTGAACATGGCCTAATGTAGAGGAAAGTCTGAGATTCAAAATAACATCATTTTCCAAAATAGTTGAAGTTGGTGTACATTGCATCACGATCGAAATCTCATCCAAGAGAGACAAAAAGTTTTATCTCAGATATCGGAGACGATATTTTAAAGGTGATTTTTCGCTTTTGACTTTTCCGCCTCGAGCTATAGGACTTTTCAAGAGTTTTTCTAAAGGATTTGTTTTGTTCTTATTTATTATGCTCAAGAAGAAAAAGTCAAAGACGAAAAGAAACATTTGAAGTGTGAGATATCGTTCCAAGTATCTGGGATAATATTTTAATCTAGACTTAAAACTTAAGCGTCGTAATCTACGCATGTTAAAAACGAAGTATACATAGAGCTTCGTCAGATGTTTTATACATTGGACTCAATCGATCTTTGCTTCGACTCTAATACGAAAACCGTAAAATTTTTGTATTTCTGTGAACATTTGTTTATTACTCAGAAAATTTTCTCCATATAAGTAACTTGACGTACACAACAATGTGCCGTTCTCAGTATGTATTCAACTGGAAGTTCATAGACACCCTGTTTTCAGAGAACCATTCGAGAAAGATCTCAGAGCACAAACGGATAGCAGATTCGTAATTAATGTCAAAAGTTCTCCCAAAAGAAGTATGTTACAGGTGGAGAGCGATTAGGGTACTTCCCGAGTTAGTGTTGAAATGTGAAATATACAAAATAAATACGTACCACTATGTTCATCTTTTGTATCATTCATATGTATAAATCCAATTGATTGTGATTTATTTTCCAATTTAAATTCCACTTTTTCTCTCATGTAACAATTGAATTTATATTTTTGTTCTTGAAATATAATTTGTATTCTTGCAATATCATTTTTATTATTATTAATTGATATTACAAAATCATACAAATATGATAATTGAATTTGTTTTACATTTTTAACAAATAATCGACCATTGAAATTATCTAAACCGAATATTTGTGACATATACTCATTTAACATTGTATATTGAATTTCATTATTAAATACTGTTAAATTTACATAACCAATTGTCATATTATTAACAAATACATTAGATAATACTTTAAAATCATAGACAGATTTCAAAAATTTAATATTATCTGTTATTACTGGTCGATCATGATTTACTTTTAGTGTAATTTGTACAAGTGAAATTATACGTTGTAAATATTTGGCAACAACAATAAATGGATAAAAATTATGTAGAAAAATTCCATTGACTTTAATTAATCCAGCATATGAATCTAATTGAATTATCGATGATATATTTGGATTTAAAAATTGATAGGTAATATCAAAGTTTGATAGTAAAGATCCTTTTGTTCTCAAAATAATTGGACTTGTTTTATTCGATAATGAGTAAACGTACGAGGAATTTTCAAATGTATCATTTACATATCTAAAGAATTCAAATTATCGATCAAAACTATTCAAGATTTCATTCATAGAAAAATGACTATTTATATCTAATATTTCACTTTGATATCTATCCACTAGCTTTAAACTTATTTTTAACTACTTACCCATCATATTTATTCAATTCAAATGTAAAATTATCTTGTTTAAATGTGATCAACATATTTTGAGTATTCACTAGTTTTCCAATCATTTGAAATTGACAAGTAACAATGTTTGACTCGGATAATGGATCGTAGCCTTCTACATTGAAATGAAAATAGAGCTCACCCGTTGATTTTAACAAATAATTTGGTAATAATCGATTTTTTAAATAAAGAGTCCCAGTTAATTTGTCAAGATGAAAATAATCTCGATAATTTTGAGTATCATTCATGAAATTGACATATTCTAAGGTATATAAAAATAATTTTGATTGTGCTTGAAGAATATCAGAAATCGAGAGAATATGAGAATGATGTGATAAAAAATCGATTTCAAATTGATTAGGAAATTTTTCAATTAATGATGGACACATCATTTGTAAACCAATATTTGACATGTAGATAATGATAGTACTGTTAATTAACTTGTTGACAATAGTTAAAACTAATGGATATTTATATAAACGTGTACGATGTTGATCCAATAGAATGAACGAATTATTTTCAACAGAAAATAAACCATACGGATCACCTGAAAATAAATGATCATGACGTTTCATATACGAAAATATCTTCGATTTTCATACCTGAGATAATTATTGGTTTCAGTTTTAATAGTTTATTATTTTTTGAATTATCATCGCTCATATTCGATAATTGAAAATCGATTAAATTTTTTCGTTCATTTAAAAATGTAGAATTCATAACAACAACATAATTTTGCTTTAAAAATTCATTATGATTATTTTCTGATATCATTTTTTTCGAATTATCATTTTCTAATTCTAATATATTCACGTGTAATCGAGTACTAACAACATAAAAATCAGCTAATGTCTGTTGATTACAACGGCATACTATTGTCAATATATGTTGATCATAGTCACCATTTGATTGTTTATTTAATAGACGAGCAACATTAACACCACCTAAAAAATTAATAAAATAAAAAATATGAATTTGATCTAGTCAAAAAGTGTTTGTACTACATACCATTATACGGATTAATTTGAAATAGTCCATCTGATTTTTTTCTTTCAACACTTTGAATTGCGTATGTACACAAAGATGAATTTGTTGAATCAATATTCATTCGAGCTATTTCTACTCCAATTGGAACACTTTCAGAAACGGATATATAATAATTTGATTGAGCAAATTTTGCACGATTTTCAACATTAACCTCAATAATTCGAACAGTTATCTAAAAATACAACACAATTAAATTTTCATCAATCATGGATAAAACTAGAAAATATCCGAGTAAATTAGAAGAATGGATATGGGTAAGTAGAAAAAGGCAGACAAAGATCCTGGAAAAAGAGATTGTATACATAATATGACCTTACATATTGACCTTGTTATGACAGATTCGTGATACAGTACCATTATCTTTGAATTTAGTTTAACTACAACTTTTAAAAATGTCACGTTGAACATATAAAGAAGTTAAGTCATTTAACAATAAAGATGATTAAAAGATCAAGGTATTTGTATGAAACAAATTTGAATATATAACACTGATGTATCAATAAGCTATACATGCTCAAAATACAAGAAGTATTCACTGTACAAGTTTCGTTTAAAAGCAAAAGGAAGTCCAAATGGAAATTTATTCATCGCAATCACATTGATAAGTCGTCGCTTTTTATCAGTTCGAAACAATGTTGTACAGAATTCTGAGCTAATGTCTCAATAAATTCAAAAGGCAGTTCTAGTTTTATATCTCCAATTGTCATACAATGAAAATATAAAATGTAACTCGTTCGTATCCACAAAAGAATCGGTAAGTCATGGAAGATTGACAATTATGGTGCTCAAATTGTAGTTATTATCTTCGGCCGTCGTTTCTATATCAAGTTACAACAAATATAGTACGTGTCTTTACACAGTACAAGATCATATCATGTCCATAGTCTCTATTTCCAGGATCTTCTCTATTGTACTATTTTTTCCAGTATCTTTTAAAATTCGCATCTTTCAACTACTACTGATTACTAACCTTATAGACGGTCACCGTTTGCCAATCATCTGTTTCATTAATTAAAATGTCAATTGTTTGATATTCTGGTATAAGTTCCATAATTGATCGAATTAGATAAAGTTGTCCTGTATGTAAATCTACATGAAAATATTTTGTTTGATTCATATCTCCATTTAAAATAAACCATTTTGTACGATTTTCACTTTTTACTGTTTCAAATTGATTTAAATTAACAAGAATATCTCCAACTTGTTTATTTGATAATAATTCTTGAACTAATGGAATTGTACGAATAATTTTCATTTGACTCATTGTTGAACGTGAAAATGGAAGAATTTGAACTTTAACAGGAATTTGAATACGTTGAGAAACTGAACGATATTTTTTATTTGATAAAATAAATACCGATGAAAATAGATGAGGAACGACTGTAAATGCTTCAACCTAAAATAAAAATATGAAAAATAATGAGTACTCTATTTATTATTCTATAATTTATCGTATATTTACTTGAAATGAATAGACAGCATAGGCTCTCAATGGTTGTTTAGCTGCAATATATCCCGTTTCTTTATTAATAACAAAATGTTTTGTTGAATCAACAAGACGATAACGAATTTGTAAATTATTATTCATTTGCATTATTGAAGATGGTAAATTAATAATAGCCGGTATTTGAAATAAACGTTGTTTTAATTTTGATCGATTTATTTCAGGTAATTCAAAATGATAATTATTATCATTTTTATCATGTAAAAATTGTGGTCTTACATCTCGTCGTCTTAAAACATTTATTTTTAATAAACAATCACTTGATAATGGAGGACGACCATTATCCGATACACGAATTGTTAATACATAGATCTAAAAATATTTTTTTTCTATAAAATATTAAATAGTGTAATAAAATTCATTTATTCTTACTCTTTTATCTTGTCTATAATGCATTTGTCTTTGAAAACTAATTTGTCCACTTTTAGAATCAATATAAAATAATTGTTGTTGATCACCTTCAACAATAGCATAATTCAAATGATCATTTTTCTCTTTATCCATAGCTTCAATTTGAATAAATGGTATCTGTTGTTGTTCAACTAACGTAATTTCTTCATAAACATGATGACATTGTGGAATAAAATTATTTTCATTTCGAACACTAATATAAAGATGAATGTAGGAAAATTGTGGTCGAGTATCAAATATTGTTGTACGAAGTGTTAACCAATAGGACGATTGTTTATCATAATCAAATGAACGACGTAGACGAATATATCCTAGAAAAATTAAAAGATAAAATAAACAATTCTATTTTCATTTGTAATTGATATACACCATACACTAATTTTACGAATTATGAACAATGTTTAGGCTAGAAAGTTTTGTTAGAAAATTACATCACATAAATGGTTCTTTTATTTTCTCTTTTAGAATGTTAGTTTCCTTTTGAAAAACAAATAATTTCATCATTTAGACAATTATTCATCATTCGATAGTCGCATGATTATGTAGAGAGGAAAAAATCACAAAAGATCTTCGCGAAGATTGATTTTCGAAGGGATCTTTGAAAACCATGCTGGAATTCAAGTTACTATAAAAATAAATTTGTTTTCTTTCATCAATCGATCACCCAAAGTTTCTTCTACAAACGGGAAATTAAGAGAGCTCATTTGAAGTATAAGTAATTTAAGCGTGATAACGGATTCTCTGAGAGCTTGACCAGCCATTCACATTTCTTTATCTATGGTTATCTCGCAAGTAAATGAAAACATAGATTATTGACTATGGCGAGCATCGTGAATAGTGTTTGCTGTCAGGAGAAAATAACTTGGTGAAATAACCGATTTTTCACTGTTTGAACCAACAATTAACAATCTTTTGAAGTCAAGGATCGAGGATAAGAGTTCTAAGAGATTTGAATAGAGTTCAGCTAAGATACAAACAAACTATGGTTAGCATTCTCTATCTCTTAAACCATATTTATCTTCTTTTTATAGTATGTTTCGCCACTGTATGTCCGACTTATTGACTTTTACTGACGTAGAATTGCATTGTCGTTTGTTTGCTCATGAACACAAAACCTTCTGATTTTTTCGCTTGTAATTAGATCCACTAACTTTGTTTATGTTCTCAATTCATTCATCTCTTTTATTCTCAGTAACTTGTTCAAAAAAACAGCTCGATAAATGTTTGAGAGAACCAATTATATAAAAACATAATATTATTTTTCAAACAAACAATTGTACAAATAAACGTGAAAATGCATCAATTATTTCTGTTTGGCTTTCTGTATCTTTCTCTCTTCATCCCGTATTGTCCGTTTTTTAAATTGTATTTTGTTTTTCTCGCAAATATTAGACAGTCTGCAGCATATTAAACTCATCAAACCATATTTTGTCTTGAACTAAAACACGGGGTCACATACAGTATCAATTTAGGAACTTTTAACATTTTAAAAGATTTCATAATACATTAGAAAAACGATTGATTCAGATTCTCAAAATATCTTCTTCCTATTAAATATTATTTTCTGTATTATATTATGAAATGGATGATCATAGTCATTTGATAGTAGTATAAAAATAAAAAGATGTATCTAAAACTAAAATGTATTTTATTTTTAATTGCTCTTTCGTTTGTTATCTTATAGTAATTATTATACATAAGGCTGTCATTACTACATCTGAAAATATTGATACAGTTGAGAATTTGAACAGCTGTAGATGTACATCAAATAAACATTTTTTGAATGATTGAACATCAGTCGTTCCGCTTGTTTTCTTTATCAAATGAGTTTGTATGTAGTACATCTCTATTATTTTATATGTACTCTAAAACATGATAATGGATTTCTATTTTAATAAAACATTTACTACTATCAACTACTTATACTATTGTAGTACAATATGTTAATTTTAAGAAAATAATCACTAGTTAGTTCATTAGCAATGTAAATTTATAAAAATACATTTATAAATGCAAACTTTTAGAATCAAGACAAAATAAAATTAAATCATGATAAAAAAAGATTGACTGATTTGTTTGTTTGTTTTTTGAAGAATAAAAATATATTTAAAAGGTCTACAATAATTGTAAAATTGAAGAAACTCTATTACAGGTCGATAATAATTAAATTAAAAAACAATAACAACACCACAACATAACCTATATTATTTTAATTTGATAATGAATTGTATGTTAATATATGCCGAGAATAATGAAAATTTTTTTCTCGTTTTTTTTTTTTTTTCTTCAATGAATAAATAAATTGTATACAAATAAAATCCTCTGGGATGTATATATATATATTGGACACTGATCATTGTTCCTTCTTCCTTGTGACATTTTTCACCTACTCAGACATTCATGATCATCATCATCGAAGTATCTCAGGGGTAAAAAAAACCAACAAGTCATGAACTCTACAACCGACAACTAATCAAGGAAATGAATGTCTAAAATTTAGATAAACGGTAAGACACCGGATAGTTATGTCTCCAATAGTTAATATCCTATTGACATGGAAAATAGTTAATCATATGTATCCGGTCAAATTTATTTTATGAAGTCAAGCACGCCATAGTTATTTACTTAATATTTTTAATTATACGGAAGAAAAATATCTTATTAGAATAAAGTTAAAAAATTGTCTGTTTTAACGAAATATATATAAAATTGAATAGTTCGACAATGAGTCAATATTCATTTAATATGAACGAGTTTTTTTTTTTTTGTTACCTAATAATATAGATTAAAACATACGATTCAAATAATCGACTCACAGTTGTCAAAGATTAAAATTTACTAGAGGATAACTTAACGTGAATTTGATGCAACATTAATTCAATTAACCTCTCTTGTCTTTTTTTCTCGAATGATGTGTGAACAGATAGATGTCTATTCAAATTGTTTATCGATCATGATGTCTAGAACTATTATTTTATTTTCCTCATTATTTAACAAAAGATATGTGATTATGATAGAAAAAATAGCGTAAAAAAGAGATAGAATCACAGTTGTGTCTACACTTGATATACATTAAAGATCATACGATGTGTAAACTATGTGCCAATATGGACAATGTTTTGATGGACACATTCTATCAATTAGTTATGATGACATTAATATTCATCTATGCGTACAAATCAAAACTTCAGAATTGTGTCGAAATTGATACTGATAAATTATGGTTCGTACGTTCTTAAATCGAATGATAAAATGGAAACTATAATTCTTTTTCGTACTAAAAACACCTCTTCTTTCTCTCAGTCACTCATTCTATTTCTAATCATACAGATTTGGGAACAAAAAAATAAATCAAATCTCGTGTACAATCTAAAGTTTTTAAGCGATTCAGTAAAAACTCCCTCGAACGAACAATCAAGTCGAAGTGGATTCGATACAAACGCTTACATATTTTGAATTCGTTAGCTTGTGTTACATGTTTTTACTAACATCATCAAACAGAGAAAGTTTAAATTCAAAAGTGAATCGACTTTAAAAGAAATTATATTAGGGCATAAATGAGTAATTTGAAAAAGTTCTTTCAAAATTATAAAAAGGACTCATTGATTGAAGTCAAATTAGCTATCAAATATGTTAGAGTAATGAATAACGATTGCAAATTACATTTAAAACTATATGTCGTTTGAAATGTATGATATCTCTCTCGATTTTAGAACAGTCACAAGATATAGAAGAAAAGAAAAAGGGACAAATCGTGAATTGTCATTGTTTTTCTCTCAGATCAATGGATATATTTTCTAAGCACATACTAATGTTATCATCTTCTCGATATAAAATTGTTCTGAATATTTAAAATCTTTTGACATTCTCTAACGACTATTTCACTAAGTCGATTATTCAATCATTGGACAGTATATCGTTGACTTTTTTATTATAGTTTGAATGATCATTTTGAAAATTTTTCCTCTCTATTCTATTGTTCTCTTCTTTCTTTCTTTTTCTTTTAAATTAATAGTTCTATTAAAAAAATATTATCATTTAATAAAAATCTTGTGTAACAATAATTCCATCGATAGTTATATCAGAATAATTATATTAGTATTAAAGTACTTGTTCATTTATCATTTTTTACACCACACCACCCCTCGTCTTTGTGAAGAATAAGAATAGTTATAAAACAAGTTGACTGACTATCTACCTAATCAAATATACAATAGTTTCAATTTATAATTTATAGTATATTATATATAGTTTCTTTGTGAGTTCTAGTTAGTTCATTTGAAAAATTCTATTCTCTTTCTTCATCTCTCATTATATAATTGTTAATATTTGCTACTAATAAATATTTAACATATTAGAAAAGAGAATGAGAGAGAGAGAAAGAGAGAAACTTCATGATGTGTGTGATGTTACGTGCAATTTTTAATTAAATATACCATTTTAGAGAACATATGTATACACACACACACATGAATGAATATTTTGGTAATTACATCATATTTAGTTTCAAAAAAAAATAACGACAACTAAACATGGAATAAGAGAGAGAACATGACTAGACGATCAACTACCATTGAATACCATTCGGGAATCGAAATAAAAGAAATAATTATTTTGTCAATATTTATTTAAAACCAATTCATTAAATCAAAACCGTTAATTTGATTATAAAGAGTTAAGTTAAATATCTCGTTTGGATAAAACTACTACATTTTTTTATTATTGAATTTCATAAGACTAAGCTAACATTATCTCTTTTTTTTCTCTCTCTCTCTCTCTCTCTCTCTCTCTCTCTCTCAGATTTAGAACAATTGAAGAGATTAACATCTGTATAAGTGTAATTCAAGACATATTATTATACGATTGGTTTAAATTTACTTTTTACTGTTAGAAAAATGATTGTTCAATAAAATATTTATCTTAAATTCTTTTTTATATACATGAAGATAAAAAAGAATGTAACTGGAGCTTATATGCCATAGATCATCTCAGTAAATTTCAAGTTATACACATAGCGATAATCATAAATTTTTCGTTTTTTCTTTTTGTTTTTATTTAATCACCGATATATACACAGACTGTCTAAGCACTGTCTGAAGTACACATTGAACACACGATCATATTTCATACGTTTACACTTTCTTAAAGTACTACATTTTAATTTTTACTCACACGATGTTACAATGAAAATAGAAAAGAAAATTATTTTTTATCCTTTTAAAATAGAAATACATCAAATTAAATGTAATTTTATTGTTATCTCGCAATGTTTGACTCGAATAGTGTTATCTCTTGAGGAAATTCCATCATAGTCTAATAGGGGAATTTTTACTATAATTTCTGAACAGAAAAGTCTACTCGTTTTCTTATATTTTCTTGTCAGACAAACTTCTAACTATCCCTATGATCATTGACGTATTCTTTCTATCATTTAATAATCACGTGTATTTGTTAGAAACATATTTTTTTAAAATTTAAATGATAATTATTTTTAATATCCTGTTATTTTTCTTCTTAATCTTTTAAATCCTGTTCTTTTCACATCAAAAATAATAATGAAACAGCTGTATGATTTGTTCAATCAATCATCTAAATTTTCTCTCATTTCCGTCTAAAACTCATTAATAATACAATGATCTGTCAAAAATCATTAACACACACAATGATTTAGGAGAAAAGGCGTTTCATTTTCTTGTTTAGTGGTTTGTTTGTATATTTATTTATTATTTAAACTAAAAAATATATTTCATCTTTACCGTTATTTGTGTTTAATCATTAAAACGTGCTATTCAACCAAAACTCTTTCGATTTTATAGATCTATATATGATCAACAAAAATTTCTAACGTGACATGAAAAATGATATCATAATCTTTATTATTGTGATCAAAAGTTTAAAAAAAACATCCTTGATGCCCGAGGCAAAAGACGCACTTTGCATGTTTAAATGAATTAAAATCATCACACAGACACACACACAATATAATCATCAATACTATCTTACCTTGTTTATCCACTTCAAACATGTTTCTGTTGCTAACATTGGTTTCGTTGGCAATGGTCAAATTTTCATATAATTCAATATAATCAACTTTAACACTTGTACTACCCCCATTCTGTACTCGTTTTAAAATATTTGTGAGAATTGAACCAATAGGTAACGATTCATTTACGATTAAAGAATAAGCCGGCTCATTAATTAGCAGCGGATTTGATGACTTTTTTACTTTTAAAACATGAATAAGAATATGCGTACGATTGACTAATTTTCCATCGTCTTGTACCGTTAAACTAATATTAAATGTTTGATCAACTAACAAGTATAGACTACGACGTAGTTTTAAATAACCGAGTGTAGGCAATATGTAAACATAAGGATTTGGTTCTAGAGAGTAACGTAAAGTAAAATTTCCATCCAAATCTAAAAATACAGATAAATATAAAGGATTTTCGTAAAAATAAACTTATGTATATCTACCATAAGCAATGATTTGTCCGAATACGGCATGTTTTGGCATATCTTCCCAAACGTCAAATTCATAATATGTCAATGATTTATTTTGATAAATAAATTGTGGAACATTATCGTTCAATCCAATAATGTTTACATGAAGTGTACACAATGTTTGAAGTTGACTCGGTTGTCCTTGATCTGTTAAAATAATGTAAACCAAATAGGGCGACTCTTTTTGTTCCCGATCAAATGGTTTTATCACATCTAATTCACCCGTTTGTTTATTGATATTAAAATGATCGGAAGTAAACAATAAAGAATAGACAATAGTACCATTATCACCTAAAAACACACACAAAAAATGAATCAATTTCTTCTTCCTTTAAGCTGACAATTAACATGTTGTGCATAGATTCAGTTATAAATCATACCTCTATCTGGATCATAACCTTTCATTTTTATAATATTTGTTTGAATTTTATTTTCTTCAACATCCACTGTAGAGTGGAATCGATCACATTGAGGTGGATTATCATTGATATCTTCAATATAAATTTTAACTTTAATTTTTTGCCTATATTTGAAAATGATATTAAACGATTCCACGCACAATGTCTGTTGAATTTTCAGAGTATATATTTGTTTTAATTTTATTTCAACATCAAATTCATACATTGAACGTTTTTCACGATCAATTTTATCAATGACAAAGATTGTACCATCATCCAAAATGGAGAACGGTGGTAAAGTTGAATCATTTGAAAGGATGACGAAGTGAAATGGATTCAGATGAGAAAATAGTGTAGATAGATAAGAATTATTATTAACAAAATCTTCGTTATCATTGTCATAAATATTTAAGCGGCCGAACGTTGTTTCAAACGGAGAATTTTCAATGATACGAAACGTTGTGACATTTGACGGATACTGAAAGCCAACATTAAGTTGAATTATAGTTGATGTCGATGGTAGCAGTGTGGACGTCGTAGTAATTATAGATACTCTAGTCAAATTTAATGATGGTTGTGGACTAAAAGGAAAAAACAAAAATAGGAGTAATTCAGAGATGTAACCTTAGTACCGAGAAGATAATGTTTGAGTCATACCTGTGTGAACTTATCACTGCTGATGTTGAAATATTGTGAAGTCTATACTTTTTTTTCCATCGTCTTGTATACAATGATTTGAGCCTTGGTCGAGATGATCGTTGAATATCTCGTCGTTGTCTATGACCATTTTGTGCCATATGTAAATGAACTGATAAAACAGTTTCTAAACTCATCGGTTGTCCCCAATCAAAAGCCACTACATCAAAATAATAATTTTCTTTTTTTGGCGTACTTATCAATACTAACGTGCCATTCATCGAATCGATAGAGAATGGAAAATCATCTTTGTTCTCTGAGCGAATCATATACGATATTCTACCATTTGTTTCCTTGTTTCTATCATTATCAACTGCTACAAACTGGTATGTATCTGAAAATAGATCAAAAACACAACTAATAAGAATCGAGTAGTCTAAAATCAAATAAGGTCAGTCTTGTTTCGATTTTAAACACCAAACGTTTATTCACTTATATGGATAAAGAAAAACCTTGAGACTAGTCAAATGTGCATTTTAACTGTGTTTACCTTGGAAGTCGAAATTAGTTTGTGTTGTTAAAAATTTTGGTCTATAATCATTTTGATCTTGAACTGTTATCTCAATCGTTTTTATAATTGAATATTTTTTTGATTTTAATTGTAAATCTATTTGAATATCTAATTGAAAAAATTGTTGTTTTTCGGCGTCTAATAATTCAGCTGTTCGAACAACACCCGTTGTTTGATCAATATAAAATTTTGATATTTGTAAATCATCATCACCAATTAATTTGTACGTAAATTTAAATAAATCATCGTTTTCGTTTGACTCAATTTTTGTCACATACGTATTGATCGGTACATCTTCATTAAGAATAATTTTATCTTTTACTAGAAATGTTAGCGACGGTGGATCAACTAGAGAAGTTAGACGATAAACAAGTTTTTGACATTGACTACGGTTTTGAACGCAAATCAACAGAACTAAACGATAATCTGATATTTTTACTATTAGATCTCTACTAGTCGGTCGTCCAACATAAATATTCAAATTTTCAATATAAAATTCAACATCATGCGATGATGGTTCAATGATGAATAATTCAAAATTTTTCGTTATTTGACCTAAATGGAAAACATTTGAACATAAGAGAAAATGAGATATCTGTGATGTAGTCAATGATTTAAATCTGTTACAATACATCTGAGGTAGAGTTCTTACCTTCGACATATAATAATGGTCTATGAGAATTTAAATAATTCCAATTTTTATATTGATTGATTGAAACGTTAACATCATTAATTACTTCGTAAAATATCGTCTCATTGGTGTCTAAGATTCTTGCAGTTTCTCTTGTTCCATTTCGTCCTGATGTTTGTTGTTGTTCTTGAAAAAATTCTAATTTCACTTGTGTTTTGGTATTTGTATTATCTCGTTTCCGTCCTCGATCGTAAGCCAACACCGAAAATTCATATGTTTTCTTTTTTGTTTTATCGTTTAAAAGATAAAGATCACCCGTTAGAGGATGTAATGATAGATCATCTACACGTTCATCGATTTCATACAAAATTTGTGCATTTTCGATTTCATCAGCGTCACTGGCATGAAATTTTAGAAGTGATTTTTGATCCTTCAATAAACTAACTGATGTAATATTTTGTCGATAGTAGTCGACGTCAAATACGGGATCGTTATCATTCGAATCAGCTACACGAAGTTGAATCTAAACGAATTCAAACGAACCAAATACAAATATGATTTTCACTTTTTCTTAAAGGACATGATCAACCTATATTTTCACAAGCAGTTCGACACTTTAAAGACAAAAAGTCAATAACTATCCGAGATACGAAAAAGTCTTTTTTCATTCATGAATACTCGAGATGTCGGACAGGACACTTGAAACTAATCGAATACATCAGCTCATGTTGACAACGACTCGATTATGTTTATAGTTTATTGTGTTAACTATATACGAGTTAATTCATGCGAGATTTTGTAGTAATCGTAGTGCTAGTAAGTGAGTAGACAGCAATCAAATCTTGAGTTCTGCAATGATTTGCGTAGAATACATGTCTGATAAGTGCCTAGGTCTGCGTTACAGGCTAGTATGCTTATACATTTGTGCACCAATCAATCACATTATCACACTTAATGTAAGAAAGAGAATCAGACAAACCAGTTTTATACATTTCGTTTTCTTCTCTTCTTTTGGAAAACTACAGAGAGACAGACAAGATGCACAAGTAGTATGGTAGCTATTTGTCATGTGAACTAAGGCAGATTTTTAATTCGTCAATGTGAAGCTCCAGTCAGAATTTTAAAAAACATTTTCGGGTACTATTGGAAGAACCTGATAAGTGCCTGTAAAAATATCTAATGACCTCACCACGTGTTTTGTCGATGTTTTCCCGAAATGAAGTTTTAGGTTACTTTGATCCTCGATCACATCTTTTATAAAACGGTGGATGAGCGTTTAACTCGTTATGTTTAAACAATCAATTTTAACAAAAAAAAAAGTGCAGATTACTTTTTCGTTATATGTTTGAAGACAGTAAACAAAAAGGACACGTGTTGAGAAAATCTATCTACGCATACCTCTGCTTGATCTGTTGTGGTATTTGTTTGTGAAAATGTAATATGTGCTTTGACTTTAATTGTATATGTCTGCTGATATTCTCGATTAATTTCAAACGGTCTCGTAATATTTAAAATTAAAAAATAAAAATCTCCTAAACGTTTTGATTTGACAGTAAATAATTTTTGATAATCTGTTTGCTCAACGATCGAATACTGAACATGCTGTTGTGCATTTTGTCGTTGAATTCCAATTCGTGATGATGGATAAACAAAACTCGATGGATATAAAATATTTTCTTGACACCAAAGTTCATATGTTGATTGAGTAAAATATATCGAAGTACATTCTGAGCACAGCAATAGAAGTATACAAATCCACAAATAACATTTCATAGACGAAGATTTAGTAGTGAATTCATTTAATAAATATCCAATTGGGCGAAATAAATAATAATTAGACATTCAAAAAAAAAATATGTACAATTACATCTAAAACGTATAAATAAAAATAGATATTAGTCCATTATTATTTTGTATACTTCTCGATTGAGAAATGAGAACCTTCTTCTGTGTAGTTTAAAATTTTATAGTGTTAACATTTCAGTGAGGCCTTTCTTTACTCCCATAGATCTAAATTGATCTTAAAATAAACCATTTATCTTTATTTCATTCGAAATAAGAATTTTAGAAGGGTTAAATTTGTCTAACTATCGATTTAGTGCTTACCAATGACATTAGTAGTTTTTTCTATTATCAAGGTTATAGCCTAGAGTGTCTAGAATTATAAATTTTTTTTTTTCTTCATATTTAATTTATTTTCGCTAATACAATTACTCAGACTATACGTCTCGACTGATAAGTTATTTTCTGTTAAATACGACAACAATTTCATCAAATTTTAGAAAAGATAGACTAAAGATAGTATGATGTGTGAATCATCATCATCATGCTTTTAGTTCAGTTAATAAAGAAGAGGCAAGAAGAAAAAAAAAAATTGGATTCAACACACACTCACACTACAATTGTACATGTGTTTCTTTAACTCACACACACGTTTGACGGAACACATTATAGGCTGAACAGTTCACTGTTATTTGTGTACATGATGAAAAAAAGCAGGAATATGTTGTTCATCGGCGTATGTTCAAAAAAAAAAGATCGGCAAGCGACGAGAAAGGAGAGACATTTTTTTTTCTTCTTATACTCATTCTATCATTCTGTCTGTCAATGAACTAATTATTAGAAACGTAGCGCCAGATAGATGATTCAATAAGTATTTCGAACAGATGACCAGGAAACCGTTTCTTGGACAAGGAAAATAAAGTAAAGACAGACATCGATCGCTATACACAATCGTTTATGTTCGTTTTACAATTTTCAAAACAAATACGTACTTAGTGAGTCCATTAATATCAGACAGACATGAAGACATTGGCCACACTTACCACAACAATTAGATAAACTGTTAACACTTTAAAAGACTTCTTGCTAGTTTAAATTCCGAAAGTCCTTTTCTAGAAAAAAAGCGGAAAGGTATTTCTACTATGTCCGAATTGTCTCGGTAATTGTAGCATAGTAAATTTCGCTAATGCTAACCATGAAGAGAAAGTAGATAATAATGGTTTAACTTAGTTGAATAAAAGTCTTGATCTAACTGTTTAATATGTCTTATTTAATAATTTTACTAAAAAGTAACGTCTGTTTCATATATGAACGTTGATTCTGTCGTGTTTATCATTTCATTTTAATTTTTGAATGTTCGGTTCATGTATACTTTTTACAACATTTTTCTTTTATGACATAAGAAGTAAAGTGTATTCTCATCTTTTTATTTGATGTTTGTAGGTTTTTTAGTTACAAATGGATTAGTTTGTTCAAAATAAAAAAAGGAGCAAAAACTATTCTCAGTTTGTTTGATGACTATGTCGAAAATATAGGGAAGACATTTATATATCCGGTTGATGACGCCTTCTGGCATCTCTGTAAAATATAGTAGTTTATTTGAAGAAAATGGGCTCTGCTTGTCTCTCTCTCTCTCTCTCACTCTCTTATTTTGTCGGTATTATTATGATTATTATCCACTTGAACACACGCACACTGTTCGTTTACAAGAATAGTAAATATAATAGAGAAAAAGGAAGCAAGAAAACACATTATTTCTATTCAAGAGGTAAATGCCGATCGTATTTAAAAATAATAATCGTTGTGAACAAAGTGAAACTAGTTTTTTTGGTTGTATTTTGAAACTGAGAATAGTGTAGTGTTGCATTACCTTGGGAAAAAGGTTATAGAGGAAACGTTTTTATTATGATATATATAGATGGTTATGTAGAGGGATCAAATCCCTGTCGTTTTTGTCATTTTATTTATCTTTATTAAAGTATAGAAAGAAAAGATGAAATTTGTCTTTTAGTTGATGAAGATGATCATACATGAAGAGCAAAATCGTTATGAATTAATGTAACATTATAGTTGCTATAACAAATTTTATTCTAATTATATTGAAAGAGCAAATTCATATGTATAAAATAAAGACGAGAAAAGAAAAAAGTTTATTTCATATTTATTTTACAATACACACGCAAAACTATCTATATGGATTAATCTTACATGGATTATTCAACACCTTGCACGAAATCGTGTTAAAAATCAAATTAGGATCTGTTTTTGTGTGCACGAAAACGTTAAATTGTTCAACATATATTTCATTTCTAGATTTCTACCTATTACAGTAATTTAGTGAGTATTGAATCTTCGTTCAACTAAATCTCTCATGTGAGAAAAATAAAACGTGATGCATTTACTGAATCATTTACGGTACATTAACGTGATATTTTTGCCTTCTGTTCATGAAACGGTACACTTACCCATATGCATACTTGAAATTTCATTCTAAATCTTAAATTTTCTTCAACAATTTTCTGCGTCATTCTTTAGTATTTGTGTGTGTAATCAAAATGGTCATATTACGTCCAAACATTGTTGAATAATAAAATTGTTTTATTGTCAGTCTCTCTCTCGTTCGCTACATGTATATACTGAGTGTACATACAAAGAGTATTTTTGAACACACAAAACGGTAAAATAATAATGATGTTCAAAATTTCTTAGTAAATATGATCAATTGACCATACAGAGAAGAGAATAGAAGAAAGACTTTTTATTGGAAATATGAAACCCCTTAAAAAAAAAAGTTTGTTTTATTGGTAATGTTTTGTTAAATATACGTCTATGTGTAGAACAAAATGTACTCCTCTCATTTTAATGGAGATAAGTCATTGTGTATATATATACAACTCGACTTCATCGTGGGTGGTTTTGAGAGAAAAAAAAAGAAGAATCTGAAATCGAACACATATCAAGGTTACATAGAGAAGACAAAACGATTTAATGTTTAACAGAAATAATCTTTATCTTTCTACAAACAATTTTGAAAATATATAAACGGTAACATTTCTCATCAATATAGAAAGCGTAAATCGCAGAAGAATCAATTCTCTATGGATATTTCTAATCCTAGCCTGAGTTACTGTATGAGAAAAGTAGACATTTTATGTTCGAATTTGGCAGGATAAAAAGTTACTCTTTAAATTATAAATGTACCATAATTTAATGCAGAGAGCACAAAGACAATGAATGTCAATATTGAACAAAAAAGGAAAAACGAACATCTACTGCGGCAACAGTTTGTTTTATCATTATAAAACAATGTTTGTATGTCACCAAATCTAAATTACCTTTTGCTTTTTAATACAAAAAAAAAGAAGCAAAAAAATCTTCTGAATTGATCTATTGATAAAAAATAAAAAAAAGCCAAGGTGTTACTAAAATATTCAGAAATTTTTGTTTAGCTCGAAGCTACGATATTTTAATCGATCAAACACCATAGAGCCTATTGTGTGAGAGACAATAGAAACTTCTTCTGAATACTACACACGTTAACACCTTTTCAAAGTCATGTTATTCAACAATATTATTATCCATTAAATAGTACATAAAATCGATTGTAGGACTATGACACAGATATATATGTTATAAAAACTTGGATAGTATTAATTCTTTATCTACTCTTCATTTTTTATTATGTCCATAATTAAATTATGAACCGGACAGAAGGCACTTACTTTCACGAGTATAATTTCCCGTATAAGATATGAAGAAGAAAGAGAGGGTAGCGATCTTTCTTTCTTTTTTTTTTTTATAAAAAAAAATTCTCTATTAGTTGATGAAGAAGAACGTATGTTCAAGGGTCGGGTCGATTTCATTGAATGAATGTGTATCTCTATTCGACTGGTCTTATAGGCATGATGAATGTTCAATCATCATTTGTTTGGTCATTTCATTCTTTTTTCTTCTCTTCTCTCTTTTTCTATTTACTTTTTCCAATTTATGAAGTCAAAAAACTTCTTTTCTTCTCCTTATTTCCGCTTTTATTGTATAGAACAGTAGAGAGAAGAGGAAAGACTAAAATATTTGCCCATCATGAGAAAAAGCAAAAAAAAGATATCATTAGCATCTAAGAGAAGAAGAGAGAATGTAGTTATTTATTGTTTACTGTTCGACTTAGAATAAACTTATTTGCGACTAACTAATACGAACAAACACAGGTAGAGATAAAAAATTTTGTTTTTGACCATTGTCACTGATAAAAACTCAGAACATTCAGATTTTCTGTACTCATAAACACCTGTTAATTAATTTCTGCTATTTATCATCTACGAATTTAAATAGACTAAAAAATAGATTTACTATAACAAAAAAACGTTTCTAACGTTCAATCTGTGAAACAGACATTTGGGTAAACAAACAAAACATATCTTGTCTATTGCCTAAAGCCACGATATGGTTATATGTTTATGTAACTCACTATGCTGTTGATTTATCCTCATCTTATTAAATATGACAGACCAAACTGTTAAAAACTATTGTCAGTTCTGGCATATATTACTTATTTAATATAATAAGATTAACATGAAAATAGAAAAGCGATGAAAATCAATCTATTATGTTATCTGACAATTATTTTGATTTTTGTTCTCTTGAGGCTGTCAATTAACAAACCAAACGTAGATCATACGAATATGATGTAATAAACACTTATAAATTCTCTTTTACAAGTAGTTTATATTTGAACATACAAAGTTTCTTTCTCTTTTTTCTTTACAATCCTTAACTAAATATGATAAGTTTTTAAGAGTTTTCAAATCAAGGACAAATAAAATGATATCCTATCAGCTATCTAGTGCTTCTGCTACTAATCATACTTGACAATGATGATCGATTTATATATTCATTGAACAAAAAAAATCTCAAATCTTTTCTGTACAATTAACCTTCTGTAAGAATTTTATACATGTTTCATTTAATAGACAATCAATTAAATTCTTTCTTAT